GGCCCCTGCGCCAACCTCGTGAGGTAATGGCCGCAGGGCTGGCCAGCTCTGCCTTCCCTTTCACTTCCTCTGGGTGAACCCAGCTCTAGCAGAGCTGCTGGGGTAGGAGGGCTGACGCCTGGAAACAGAGTCGGGCACGCATTTATGGAGCACCTTTTGTGTTTGGGGTATGGGGAAAGTGTGTGTGCGAAGACGAAAGGGACTTACTCCCCAGCTGAAAGATCCTCATAATCCAGTGGATATTTGATGAGCAAAAGGGCCAGGCGAAGCCATTCACACACACACACACAACCCCACAAGCCCCTCTTCTCAAGAGCTGCCCACCTCAAGCCCCACCCCTCACAACCCCGCCCACCACAAGTCCCGCCCACTACACAGCCCCGCCCCTCAGGTCCCGCCACACCACAGCCCCCGCCCCTTTCAAGCCACACCCACCCAAGCCCCGCCTATGCCCCGCCCCACCCCACCACAGCCCTGCCCCTTTCATGGCTGTGCCCTCCTCAAGCCCCGCCCCCCTCCACTGCCTTGCTTCTGTCTCCAGTGTCCTCCACTCCAAGCTCTCAGGAGCTCCTCAGCATTCAGAGAGAGAGGTCTGAATGGGTGACTAGACATCCAGGGACTCTGAGACCCAGCCTTGCCTGCCTCCTTATCCTCTGCCCCTTCGGGTCTTGCTTCAGCTCCAGGAACTGGACTCCTTACCCCCTCACCCCTACTCCTCTCCAGCCCTAGGTTTCTGTTTCAAAGACCCTTCCTCATCTTCTGCCTGGGACCACCCTCCTCAAACTGCAAACCCCTCTCCCTTCTGTGCTAAGAGAACACTTTGTGCCCTCCACTAAGGGGACATTTGTGTGGGGGGTCTGTTTTAGGCAAGGTTCTTCAAAGAAGCAGAACCAGTAATGTGTGGTAGTAGGTTATATGGGAGAATTTTGAGGAATTGGCTCATGTGGTTGGAGTGGGTTGGCACCTCCAAAAGCTGCAGGGTAGGCTCCGGAGACCCAGGGAAGAATTGCTGTTGCAGCTGAGGTCAGAAGGCAATCCGCTGACAGAAGTTCCTCTTCCTCAGGGGAGGTCAGTCTTTTTCTAAAGGCCTTCACCTGATTGAATGAGGCCCACCATATTATGGAGGGGTAATCTGCTTTACTCAAAGTTTACTCCCTCAATGTTAATCTCATCTAAAGAAATACTTTCATGGCAACATCCATTCACATTTGACCAAAGAGCTAGGTACTGTGGCTTGACCAAGGTGACACATAAAATTAACCATCACAGGGTCATCATGAGTTGGATAAGTTTTCATCACCAAAGATGAAGAGTGAGCCCCTGAGTTGGGGCCTGTGCCCACACAGTGCTGCCCACTATAGGACTCAGCATGGAGCTGAACCCAGAATCAACCTGCAGCATGAACTGGTGGGACCCACAGGAGTATGCTCCTAGGCCAGAATTATTATTGTTTGTTTTTATTATGAAGATAGTGATATATCCTTACTGCTAAAAAGAAGTTTAAGCAGTTGGTAATAACTGAGTAAAGTAAAAAATGAACATTCTCTCCTCTTCCAGTGTCACCTCCATAATCCTATTGTTAAAATATCATTCCAGATTTTTTCTCCACATATATGTATATCTGTGAATGTATTTTCTTCTTCTTTTTTAATTTATGTTTTATTGAAGTATAGTTGAATTACAATGTGTTCATTACTGTTGTATGGCAAAGTGACTCAGTTATGCATATACATATATATATATTCTTTTTCATATTCTTTTACATTTTGGTTTATCACAGGATATTGAATATAGTTCCCTATGCTAAACAGTAGAACCTTGTTGTTTATCCCTTCTGTATATACTAGTTTGCAGCCAACCAGTCCATCCTAAAGGAGATCAGTCCTGGGTGTTCATTGGAAGGACTGATGCTGAAGCTGAAACTCCAATGTTTTGGCCACCTCATGCGAACAGTTGACTCGTTGGAAAAGACCCTGATGCTGGGAGGGATTGGGGGCAGGAGGAGAAGGGGACGACAGAGGATGAGATGGCTGGATGGCATCACCGACTCGATGGGCATGAGTTTGAGTAAACTCTGNACAATTATCCAAGTCAGGAAATTAGCAATGATATAATATTCTAAACTAAGACATTGTTTAAATTTTACCAACCATCCTACTCATCTCATTTTTCTGGTTTTATTTTCCCCATTTTACATTTAATTTGTCTTATCTCCTTAGTCTCCTCCAGTCTGGGGCCATTGCTTGGTCTTACTTTGTCTTTCATGACTTCAGCACTTGTGAAAGTACTAGCCAGTTATTTGATGGAGATTATGCATTCTTGGGAAGGAGATTGTGAAAGGCATGTTGTACCTTTCTTGGGGCACATATTAAGAGGTACATAGAATCAATACTGCTGATGTTAACTTTGATCACTTGGTTAAGGTGGTGTCTTAGCCAGGTTTCTCCCCTGTTGTGTAACTATTTCTCCCTTTGTCATTGATAAGTATATTGTGGGGAGATATTTGGAGTCTAGACAAATATGCTGTTCCTCCTCCTACTTTCTCCCAGTAATTTTAGCATCCATTGATGATTCTTGCTTGCTATAATTATTATTATGGTATTTGCCAAATAGTGATTTTTGATTTTCATCATTTTTTTAGTAGTAGAGGTTCTTTAGTTGGGGTCTGCGTTGTATGCAAGTGTTTTGATATACCCGTTCTGCAGGAGGAATGGCTACGTAAATGGATTCTGCTGCTGCTCGTTAGTTACTAGGTCATGTCTAACTCTTTGCGACCCCATGGACTGTATCCCACCAGGCTCCTCTGTCCATAGGATTGCCCAGGCAAGAATACTGGAGTGGGTAGCCATTTCCTTCTCCAGGGGAATCTTCCCGACTCAAGGATCGAACCTGCATCTGCTGCTTGGCAGGCAGATTCTTTACCACTGAGCCACCTGGGAAGCCCAAGTAAATGGATACATCCATTAAAAATCGAAGGCAAAAGGCTACTTTTAAATGTTGTGCTAGAGGATGACCAACAGATCGATAATGAAAAAAAGATTCTAGCCCCCCCTTTCCTCTTTTAAACTATTATTTGTTTATTTACTTGGCTGCACTGAGTCTTAGTTGTGGCATGTGGGATCTAGTTCCCTGACCAGGGATCAAACTTGGGCCCTCTGCATTGGGGGCACAGAGTCTTACCCATTGAACCACCAGGGAAGTTACCCCTAACTCCCTTTCCTTTTCAGCAGAGGGCACAGTGACCCCATTTTCCTTCCTTCCCTCACGTCCCAGGACCCAAATTCCAAGACTCTTCTGCCTTTCTCATCATCAGGGATCATCTGAGGACCAGGTCATCATCTCCTGATCCTGGGAGCATCTTCTGAGAAGGGTCTTTGGAGTCTAATCTATAAGTGACCCTGACGGTGAGCGTCCTGCTCATTGTGAGGAGTGACCACTCCAACAGGGAAGCTGCTGGTTGGGGCTGGAATTCAGGCCATGAGGAGCGAGGCTATACCTGTCTCACAGTGCCAACCCACTAGTCTCTATTTCTGCAAGTAGGGAGCGAAGCTCAGAAACGGCTCTTTACAAGACATGGGATTTGACTTCAGGAAACTCATACTGTCTTCAGAGTTGAGGCATAAACATGAGCAGTTGTATTTTTGTTTTTCCAAATTGGGCTTTAACTGCAGTCCCATGTGTTGGGTACACTCCACGGTCAGCTCCCAAGGTGGAAGCAAGGGCTTCCCAAGTGGCACTAGTGGTAAAGAATCCACCTGCCAATGCAGGAGACCCAAGAGACAGAGGTTCAATCCCTGGGTTGGGAAGACCCCATGGAGTGGGTCACTCTAGTATTTCTTGCCTGGAAAATTCCGCAGACAGAGGAGCCTGGTGGGCTACAGTCCATGGGGTCACAAAGAATCAGACGTGACTGAGCACTTAGTGGGCTATGCATCAGAAAATCTGGAAAAACCCAGAGCACTGGAGGTGGAATAAAAAAGTTCATGCATGCAGACACACACACTCCACTGTGTTGTATTTGGGTTTAGAGAATGAACTGTCAGGATTGCCTTTACTAGAAAACCTTGGAAGGAAGGGAGCAGCGGGCTGGCTTTCTTAATGTCAAAATTACAGCCTGAGGTTTTTATATTTTCTAAATACAGTAAGGCACCTTTAAGAAAAGCCAAGTGAGCTAAGTACTGAATCACTGACCTCAACTGAAAAAATGTCAAATGTTCATTGATTTTCACAAGGGCCCTTTGCTTTATGACTGAAGAAATAACAGGAACAATGGTTCAGGAGCATCAGGGCCTTGTCTTTGGAGTAGGTGTTTACAGGCCTTTCAGGGAGGTCTCTCCCTCCCCTTGGCATCAGGAGTCAAGAGCAGGATGTTCAATCATGCGTCTGTCATGGGCCTGCCCTCTGCCTTCAAAACTTCAGCCAGCAGGAGCTTTGTGAAGAAAAACTCGATTCTCATTCTTTCAGGAAATACTGCATTTCTGTTGTAATTGTCCTTGTTACTTCTGTCACTGTTGTTTGTTAAGGAGGGAGGGTTTAACACCCTTTTCTTCCTCACCAGTAACTCATGTCTGAGTTAGAACTGGGGTGCACGCCCTCTATGACCTCGGACTGCTGGCCGGGCAGGAGGGGTGGTGGGTCGCTGCCTGGTGACCTGGGGAACCAAGTGCAACCTGCATTTGGGTCCCAGTTCTGCAGTTTTCGCATCTAAGAGGCATAGTCCTGGTAGCAGCCACCGCACTTGTGTCCCCTTCTAGCTCCTTCTGGCTAATCATGGCATGGCCCTCCTCCAGATCTTCCAGGAGCTTCCATCTCACTTAAAGCCCATCCCTCTCTCTGTGGCTAACCATTCTCTTCCTGACGCCGTGAACGGTCTCACTCCCGGGGCTCTGGGCACATGGACCAGGCTGGCCTGGAGGCTCCAACACTCTGCGGGGCATCACCTTTGTCATCCTTTCGCTTGGACTGTTTTCACTCTGGAGCAACTGGAAATGCTGCATCGCCTTACGGGATTTCGCCCTCTGTT